GCGTCGCCCCGCCTCTAGGGTAGGACCCGCCCCCGCCCTCGGTGCAGGGACCAGGGGAGTCGGGGGGTCGCTCAGCCAGGCTGCCCCGCCGCCCCGCTTCGGTCTCGGAAGCTGGGAGGAGCGGCTATGCGGCCTCGGGGACAACAACATCTGCCAGCGTCTTCGTGACCCTCTACCGGGTTGTCCAAACGCTGACGTGGAACGTGACCAGTTCTGAATCCTCATGGAGAAGTTTGGGATGAATTTCGGGGGTGGCCCGAGCAAGAGGGACCTGCTGGAGACCATTGAGAGCCAGAAGCAGCAGCTCAGCCAGTACCAGACACGGCTCAAGGATGTGGTCCGCGCCTATAAAAGCCTCCTGAAAGAGAAAGAGGCTCTGGAGGCCAGCATCAAGGTGCTGTCGGTATCCCACGAGGCGGACGTGGGCCTCGCAGGTGTCCAGCCGCCAGGCCACACCTCTCCCGACTGCGTGGATGACCGATGCTCCACGCACAGCGAGGATAGCACTGGGACCGCCACCAGCTTGGATACCACGGCCAGTCTCGCTAGCACCAAGGGTGAGCTTGGGGCAGAAGATGACAGACTGGCCCGTGGACCACCACCTCCAAAGTCCGAAGAGGCTAGTGGGTCAGAGAGCGGTGTTAGCAGCAGCAGCGGGGATGGACAGGCTGCGGGTGGGGAGGTGGACAAACGATTGCACCAGCTGAAGACTCAGTTGGCCACTTTGACTAGCTCTTTGGCCACGGTCACCCAGGAGAAGTCCCGCATGGAAGCTTCTTACCTGGCTGACAAGAAGAAGATGAAACAGGACTTAGAGGATGCCAGCAAAAAGGCCGAGGAGGAGAGGGAGCGTCTGGAGGGAGAATTGAAGGAGCTGCAGGAGCAGATAGCAGAAACCAAAGCCCGACTTATCACACAACAGCACGACCGGGCCCAAGAGCAGAGTGACCATGCCTTGATGCTGCGTGAGCTCCAGAAACTGCTGCAAGAGGAGAGAACCCAGCGCCAAGACTTGGAGCTTCGGTTAGAAGAGGCCCGAGAAGCCCTGGCTGGGCAGGCATATGCTGCTGGTCAGATGGAAGGGTTTGAACTGCAGGCTAAACAGCTGACCCGGGAGGTGGAGGAGCTCCAAGGTGAGCTGCAGGCTCTTCGAGATGAGAAGAATCGGCCAGACCCCCGGCTGCAGGAGCTTCAGGAAGAGGCCGCCTGCCTTAAGAGCCATTTCCAGGCCCAGTTGCAGCAGGAAATGAGGAAGGTAATTATCTTCATCTCCTTCAATCATTTAGCCTGAAGTGGGAAATATTAAGGCTTTTTTTTCTCCTTTGATAGTGGCTGTACTTTCAGTTTTTGATGCTGTTGGAAAAGTTTTATTTGCGAGTCCCCTGGGAATTCCTGTTCTGTGTGGTGTTGACAGTGTCCACAGAGTGTGCTTCCAACAGGATGTGGAGCTTAAGAGTGTCAGCTGGGTTGGAGCCAGACAGCTCTGAATTTCTGGGCATTGGCATCTTACCAGCTGTGCTCTGTGAAGCGTATCGTAGCAGCTGTGCAATGAAAGGTAGTATGTTTGCCTGTAGGTCTATACCTATGTGTAGGTAGCAGTATATGCCTACAGGGAGGGTGGCTGAAGAGGGCAACGGGAATTTTCTTCGAAGAAATAACCTCTTGTAATTGCTTTCAGTCAAGATTTGCCTTTAAAGATTTGCCTTTACAGTGCCTCTGTTCAGTTTTGAACCTCCCAGGAATATTGAAGAGGAAAAAAATGTCCCCTGATTTCTTTTTTTAAAAATATATTTTTATTCATTTCAGAAAGGAAGGAAGAGGGAGAGAGAGAGAGAGAAACATCAATGATTGATGAGAGATAATCACTGATCGGCTGCCTCCTGCATGCCCCCCTCCCCCTTCCCCTACTGGGGATTGAGCCCGCAACCCGGGCATATGCCCTTGACCAGAATTGAACCCTGGACCCTTTAGTCTGTAGGCTGATGCTCTATCCACTGAGCCAACTGGCCAGGGCATCACCTGATTTCTTAATAGGATTTGGGGACGTACATGATAGACAAGGATAACATACTGAATATGTGAGTTCAGTGTGTAATGGGAGAGAGTGGCAGCACTACAGCAGAATAAGGACTGATATACAGAGGTTCTTTATATCGTTTGGTATAACTTGTGATTGGGAGCAGAACCCTAGCAGGTTACAGGAACTTTTGTGAGCTCCCAAATCAACAGAAAAATCCCCAGTTCCCCTTCCTGTCAGGTCAATCCCTGACCTTTTGCTCCCCTATCTTGCTTTCTCAGAGTTTGCCATAGAGCTCCGCGGCTTTTCTGGATGGATTTCTATCTGTTCCCTTGTTTTACAGACAGCCCTTGCAGAGGATCAACTACGCCAGCAATCGCAGCTGGAAGAGCAGAGGGTGGCAGCCCTGGAGAACCAAATATCCGAGGTGTCGGAGCTGCTGGGCACCTATGAGAAAGCCAAGCAGAAGGACCAGCTGGCCATCCAGAAGCTGAAGGAGCGCATTCTGCAGCTGGACCTGGAGAACAAGACGCTGGCTCTTGCAGTCTCTAGCCGGTCCCCTCTAGACAGCCATGCAGAAGAGTCCAGTCTGGATGTCAATGTCCTCAAGGACAAGATGGAGAAGCTGAAGAGGCTACTGCAGGTGGCGGCCAGGAAAAGCCAGGTGACCTTGGATGTAGAGAAGCTCTGCAACCTGGAGATAATGCCCAGCTCTGAGGCTGCCGATGGGGAGAAGGCTACTGCGCTCTACTACCAGCAGGAGCTGAAACAGCTGAAGGAAGAGTTTGAGAGGTACAAGATGAGGGCCCAGGTCGTCCTCAAAAGCAAGACCACCAAAGACGGTAACCTGGCCAAGGAGCTGGAGGAATCCCAGGAACAGCTTGCAGAGCTGAAGGAGAAGTATATCTCCCTGCGGCTGTCCTGTGAAGAGCTGGAGCGCCAGCACCAGCAGGAGGCTGAGGACTGGAAGCAGGAGCTGGCCCGGCTGCAGCATCACCACCGGCAAGAGCTGGAGCGGAGCCAGCTGGACTTCAGGGACCGCACGCTGAAACTGGAGGAGGAGCTGCACAAGCAGCGGGACCGGGCCCTGGCTGTGCTGGCCGAGAAGGACTTGGAGCTGGAGCAGCTGAGGTCTGTGGCTTTGTCTTCTGTGCTGCCAGGACGCAGAAGCCCTGTAGGTGGCGGGGATCCTGAGGACCCGGCTGACGTAGCTTCCCCTGACAACCTGACCCAAGCGCTTCAACTCGCTGCGGCCAACGAGCCCACTTTCTTCCTGTACGCTGAGCAGTTGGCCCGCAAGGAGGTGGAGATCACATTCCTGAGGAAGCAGAAACATAGACTGGAGGTGGAGGTGCATCAGCTGCAGGAGCGGCTGCTGGAGGAGGGGGAGCGGCACCGGGAGGAGGTTGGAGTCCTGCAGAGCCACATTGAGAAGAACACCAGGGACCAGAGTCGGGAGGGAGCCAATCTGGAGTACCTCAAAAACATCATTTACCGCTTCCTGACCTTGCCTGACAGCCTGGGCCGCCAGCAGACACTCACAGCCATCCTGACTATCTTGCATTTCAGTCCAGAGGAGAAACAAGTGATAATGCACCTCCCACCCAGTGGTGGCTGGTGGTCTTCTGGCAAGAGATGATGTCATCTTCACGGACTCCTGAAATTTCCATGCCTCTTACGTGAGAAGAGACAGGCTCTGGTTTCTACACCCGCTTCTCTTACCTTATCATTTTTTTCTTCAGTGTTGAACTTGA